AATCTTTTCCTTTCAATTAGCACTATTTACTTAAGAAATTACAAGACCTGTGCTGTTTTCTACAAGATTTTTTGTTTTGCTTTTCAAGGTCAGGTCTCCACCTTCTAGAAACAATGCTTTGATAAGGTAGAAATATAATTTCATTTGTTCCAAATAGTCTTAACACCATTTTGAATTTTTTTTCCTTTTCTCATTGATGTACAATATTACTTCTGTCATATATTAAGAGTCTCTATAGCCGGGACTGGTTTGGCTCAGTGGACAGAGTGTCAGCCTGCGGATTGAAGGGTCCCGGGTTCGATTCCGGTCAAGGGCATGTACCTTGGTTGCGGGCACATCCCCAGTGGGGGTTGTGCAAGAAGCAGCTGGTCGATGCTTCTCTCTCACTGACGTTTCTAACTCTGTTCCTCTCAATTCCTCTCTGTGTAAAATCAATAAAATAAATTTAAAAAAAAAGAGTCTCTATGTTTGTGGATCTAAGGGGCTCCTGTTCTGTCTAACTGATCAGTTTGTTTATCTCTGTACCAATATCACATTGTCTTAATTATAATAGTTATATATATAGGTCCTGGATTATAATATCTGATAGAGCAACTTTTCCAACCAATTTTTCTTCAAGAGCTTCTTTGATATTCTTGGCTCTGCATTTCAACTTGTCAAGTTACACACACACAACAGTATTGAGGTTGTTATTGGAATTTCAATGAATCTATAGACCAATTTGGATAGGATTGATGCCTTTACAATACTGAGTCTTTTAGTCATGGGCATGGTATATCCATACATGTAGTCAGGTTGTCTGAAATGTCTCAATAAAATTCTAAAATATTTCCATAGAATGATTGCTTTTTGTTTGTTAAGTACATCATATTACTTGATGCTATTGTAATGGTATATCATTTCTTTATTTCACAAAATACAATATTTATATTCATTTTGATTTTTAATCCAAATACCTTGCTACATTTAATACATTATTTAAGTGAAAAAATTTTCACTTTCCAAAATAACTTGTCACTTATGAAAACACAGTTGTTTCCTTGTACAATGCATAAATCACCTGGAAAGATCACCTGGAGTAATAATGATCACTAATTAGGAGCATTGGTTTTAGATTGAGCTATGTCTGGGTGAAGTCCCAGAATGATTACTAGCAACTGTGAATAGGAGCAGGTGACTAAACTTACCACATCACATTTCTTTTTTCTGTCAATACATAATTAAAATATTCTACCTATTGGGATTGTTTTGAGGAGTAAATGTTGCAATGTGTATAAGTAGCACATAATCTAGCACATGGATATGCTGACTAAATGATTAATTATAATGATTTGTAATCATAATGAGTCTTGCTTGCCTTGTATTGTTTATGTTGAACGTAAGTCTTAACAGGTTTATTTTTCCTCTTAAGCATTGTTTACCCTATCCTTTCTCTTGTAGTTTTCATAATTTTTATCAATAATACAATCTCTCTTTCTCTCTCTCTCTCTCTCTCTCTCTCTCTCTCTCTCTCTCTCTCTCTCTCTCTCTCTCTCCCTTCATCTTTCTCTAAAAGTTGCTTTAAATATTCTTGTTCACTTTCCTTTTAAAGTTCCCCTCAACTCCAAATATTTTAGGGAAATATGAATCTTTTACCCTTGGATGTCTCATTTCACTTCACAAGAACATTTATTCCCTCTTAAAAGTTATTCCCAAATCAAAATAATAGTTAAAGTAATATATTATGGTGATGCAAGATGTTTATATTACAGGAAAACTGAATGAAGAGTACTTAGGAACTTCCCATACTTTTTTGGGAACAACTTCTGTATCTGTAACTATTTGTAAAAAATACTTCTGTAAATTCTCTTGCCTTTTTGTTCATTCTCTGGAACCGGGACAAACTCATCCCAAATTTAAAAGCTACACATCATTAGAGTCCCCAGAACCCCAGCATGCTTAATTGAAGTAAAGAGACACCATCATCAATGGTGATTTTGTTATAATCATTTATTATAATATTTGTTATAATTATAATTTTGTTATAATCATTTCTGATCAGACCCCCATGAAAAATAACAAACAAACAAACACATTCAAGAATTGAATACGAGTCAATAATTAAACTTTAAGAGAGTGATGCTTTATTTTCTCCTACATTAGCTACATCAAAAACAAATCATCCTCAAAAGTAAGAATCAAGCTAATCTTTGGTCATTTAATTTATTGATTTACAAATCTGACTGTCATTTTTTATTTTCAGTGACATGTTTTTAAAGACCAGTTTATTGATTTTTAGAGAGAGAAGAAGAGAGAAGGGGAAAGAGAGATATAAACATCACTGTAAGAGCATAACATCGATCAGCTGCTTACCAGGATTGAGCCCACAGTCTTGGGCAGGTGCCCTGACCAGGAATCAAACTGGCAATCTTTCCGTGCACAGGACAACACCCAACCAACTGAGCCACACCAGCCAGGGCTTTGGTGACATTTTAAAAACTAATTGTTCCATGCTTCCATATTTCCAAATCTCAGAGAGAAATGTTCAGAGGTAATACTAATGATAGCTACCCTGTTTCCCTGAAAATAAGACAGTGTCTTATATTAATTTTTTCTCCCAAAGTTGCGCTAGGTCTTATTTTCAGGGGATGTCTTATCTTTCCATGCGCTAGGTCTTATTTTTGGGGAAACACGATAACACTTATATAGTGCTTACAGCATACCAGGCACTGTTCTAAGCATTATATATAATTAAAATATATAGGTATATATGCACATACACAGATAGGGTGGGCCCAAAAAATGTACTCACACTTTAACAGCTGATAGCTCAATTTTGAAAATAAAATGTATTTTAATATCCACACAGACTTTATATTTATTCAAAGTATGTATTATATTTACATTTTGGGGGATACCCTATGCATGCATACACATACATATACATATACACACACACACACACACACACACACACACACACACATATATATATATATATACAGACACACACATACATATGCAGTGTAATTCACTATAATAAAAGTATTATGCCTGCCTTACAAAAGAGGAAGCTGATGGAGACAGTGGTAAGTAAGTTAGCCATGCTCACACCGCCCCTAAGTGGGTGAACAAGGAGTAAACCCAAGTCATATTAGTGTATAGAATCTTTACCATTAAATTCTCAAGTCACCCAACTAAAAGAATCTCTCATTAATGTGCTAAGCAACATGAATTTAAAAAGACCTATTCTAAGATAAATGTTAGTAAACTGTCTGAATTTAAATGATAAAAGTAAATTTTTAAAAAAGTTATCAGTGGAGATAGAAAAGATTTCCCTCGAACAAAAAAATAGATTTCTATTAGACTTTTGATTGGCAACACTAGAACTTAAGAAGATAATAAAACAATAACTTCAAAGTTCTGAAGCACATATGAAATATCTGAAAAAAATTTACCTGATTTAATTACCATTATTTTCATATGGACTGGGTTAGGATGATTTGTTGTTTACCTTCTTTGTAGCTTTCTCTTTTGTTTTAAATTCTGATAATGAACAAGTCTTTGTTGAAAACAATAAAATTATTGTTACAAAAATAAATATATTCACATGGACTAAATTTATTAAATATGAAAAATGAAACCATAAATTTACTAGATAAATGCAATATAATATTTTCTCATTGGAGGAGATGTTGATATGAAAGATCATCCAAGGAAAGATTTTTTTTATAAAAAGAAACCATAAAGAAAAATGTTAACAAATTATACAAAAAATGTTAAGCTCTGATAGGACATAAATTAAAAGATATGTGACAGACTAGGAAAAAACATATGTTACATAGTAGCAAACAAAGATTTAATATCTATCTTATAAACAGTTCCTCTAAATCAGATGAAAAAATATTTTTAAAAGCACAACTAAACAAGAAATACAAATAGGCAATTCATAGAAGTGCTGATAGCCAATACCCACTTAGCCCTTCTTGTATTCAGAAAAATACATATTAAGTAAGAAAATAATGTACCATTTTTCACCCAACAAACTGGCAAAAATGTAAAGGTTAACAATACATAATGAGGATTAGGAAAGAGGCAGTTTTACCCGTTGACTGAAGAGGAAGTAAATGGTACATTTTGGAAGGGTAATTTCACAATATCCCTCAAAATTAAAAATGATGTTGTATTTCTAGACTTCTATTTTATGAGAATACTTATTTAAGAGCCAAAACAAGTAGTGCAACAGTGTTTAAACAGTGACACACAAGTGCTGGCCACTTGCAGAGGACCTCCTTAGATGACAAGCACCAGAGCCCAGACGTCTGGATATTTCACTCTGAATTGCTAGCCACACAAGAGAGTCTAAAGGCAAGTCTGACTCCTCTTTTCACAGAGATCGAGTCATTCTCCACAATGAACAGTCCTTGGAGAAACAGCCTGCTGATGGGCTTCATCAACTAGAGACTGACACAAAAGTTCCTACGGCAGCTGCCAAGATTTCTGGATTCAACACTAGAGCAAGAATTTTCCATTCTGTTTTCCCATATCTGATGGATATAATACCATCATACACTCCTATACATTCTGAAAATATTGTTATTTTTATGCACACATATGCATTAGATTGACCATTTATCTTTATTCTTAATAAAACCGACGTTAATTCAGTTCAACAATCAATGCCAATCAATGAGTTGGGACTGAAGCTAACAAATTGGAAAGTAGTAGTAATGAGTAAGCAGGATATTGTGTTGCTTCTTGGGGCAAAACAATGGGTCCTCGTGTTATTTCTACCCTCTCTGAAGGCAAGAAACAGAATCCCAGCAGAAGCATGAGATGGTGTTTGGATTCCCACAATCCTAGCTAGTTTATTTACAATTCCCTTCTTCATCCTTCCTGCCTGTCCAGATGGTGTCCTTCTTTGTTTCCTTAAACTGAGTTATGTTCACTGTCTTTAGATGTTTGATGCTTCAAAAGCCTTCCTCTCTAGTTCCTCGCCAATGGAAGTCATAAATGCTTACCTTTGCCGAATTATGCTGGGGTTAGCTGTCACTAGATGACTTTTGGATCCAACATCTTTAGTGTATTCACTTGACAAGGGAGGAAGATTGCATCTAGGGAGACAAAAACAAACATTTTAGAATGGTTTACCCATCTTCACTGTCAGTTATCACAACAAATAGGACTTTTACTAAGTCTAGCTCAATTAACAAATAACTTTTATCACCTCTCCCTTTTAATGGACATCATGACTATCAGCACCTTCAAAACACTGTCATAAAAACGAATCCTGTTTTAGAAGAAAGAAAACATCAGCTGCAGAAGTAAATGATCTATGAAAGGAAAGAGAAATAACTGGAATAAATTTATTCCACTCAAAATATTTTTGAAGTGGGAGGACAGGGAGCGTTAGACCTGAAATTGCAGCTCAGGAGTGTGGGACACGAGAGGACACAGAGCCTACACTGTACTCTGCATACCTCTCAACCTCAAGAGACTGGGAGGAGTTGTATTTGTTTGTGTTTTTCCCAAATTCTAAATTATAATAGTACATTCAGGGCAAAACCTGCCTTGAATGTACCATTATAATGTGCTAAATCAATGCAGGTCCCCCTTTTGTGTACGTGACCAATGTATGGGTTGACTATTGATGAAGTCATAGTGATCTGTCACCTAGAGAAATGAAATGATTCTCCACCATCCCAGGTCAGCCAAGGAAAAGAGTATGTTTTCCTGGTGATGGAAATAACACTCTCACTCTCTCTCTCTCTCTCTCTCTCTCTCTCTCTCTCTCTCTCTCTCACACACACACACACACACACACACACACACACACACACCACTCTGGTTTGCTTTGCGTGGCCATGTTTTATGAATGTGTACAGTGGGAAATATGGCAATTGCAAATCCAAATCTCGTGGCTTTCTGCCAGTGGGAAATTAGACCAGTTAATTCATCTGACTGGACTCAGTTTCCCCTTTAGACAAGTGAAGATGGTGTCTTCCTTTCCAATAAGGTTGTTGTTAAGATTAAAAGGAAGAATATATAAACAGCCCCTGCCTTTATGTCCCACACATAGTAAAAGCTCAAAAATATCACCAATCAGAAATAGCATGTCAATGTAATTAAATACACATCTATTACTTATGACAATCTCAAATGAATCTAGTTTTCACTAGGTTTTATTTTATTACTGTGTCCTAGTTTCTCCTCTCTACCCATATCTCTAACCTGACTTCTACAACATCAGGGCATCACTAACTTTTATTACTTCAACAAACTAAAGCATTGTTTGTTTGTAGGTAACAAGGTCTTACAAATATGAATGTCTCTGCAGTTCCCCAACTAATAAATTTTTCCCAAACAAATTTTCCCCAGGACATGGAATTTTCTGGGCATCCACTCAGCTGATCAGCTGGAGTTCCCTTGGTGTTGTCTCTTACTCACCCTGTGACTCCTCCCACATCAGGGCATCTTAGGTGGAAACCTGTCTCCATTGATTCAGAGTCTTCCTTTCATCTGCTCTTTGGTTATGAGATACTGGTTTCTGTGGCAGATACCCACAGATTAGTCAGCTGGCCAGTGACTTCTGAGTGTCCCCTGAGAACAAACACTGTGGGAACCCAGGGGGAAGCCCGAGTCGCAGAGCCTGCTCTTGAAGCATCTCCAGCCTAGCAGTCACATGACATCCCACGTGGTATCTGAGGACCCTTCTGAGGGAGTGAGCTTATACATTAGCAACCGGGTTCATCCGGCAGCGGGCTGACTGTGGGCTTGTGATTTAATTGATCTTTGCAAACCCAGGCTAAAATCTGGACATTTGTCTCTTGAAGAAGCTTTGATCTTGATGGTCCTTCATACCATTTGAAAATCAACCAGTTTACATTAAAACCAGAAAATTTGAATATTGCTGAAGAGTGCAGTCAACCTGCCTTGTCGTTATGAAATGAAGCAAATGCTTTGTTTTTCTGTGTGCTCCCTGTAGGTGGATCCATGCCTCAGATGTCTAGGTTCCTTCATACCTCCTACCATAAGTTAAACGCTCAAGAGACACTTGAAGGTACCGACTGCCAAATCCTACAGCAGAGGGAAATGCTTAAAGCAATAAAGATAACCTTTTATAAATGCATTCCTGTAAAATAATGAAATTATGTTTTCGTGTAAATATCTGCTTTAAGTTCTTCTGGGACAGTGGTAGGCAAACTCATTAGTCAACAGAGACAAATATCAAAAGTACAACGCTTGAAATTTCTTTTGAGAGCCAATTTTTTTAAACTTAAACTTCTGCTAACACTACTTCTTCAAAATAGACTTGCCCGGGCTGTGGTATTTTGTAGAAGATCCATACTCAAGGGGCCAAAGAGCCGCATGTGGCTCGAGAGCCGCAGTTTGCCGACCACGGTTCTGGGACAACTTTCTCTTCAAGTGCAATGTCTCTGACACCTCCCTGTAGCTCCTTTCTCAGAAAAAGCACATTATAATTTTAGTTGCTCAACTCCTAAACTGATCATTACATAAAAGGCACATTTAAGACAGACAAATTGTTTCCAATAAGGCATAAATTGTGTAAAAGTGTTTCAAAATTGGCTATTGCTTGCTGTCATAATTAACAGACATTAATGGCTTAAGTGTCTTAGCAACTTGGCTCACGAACCTAAAAGATGTGATCACAGAACTGATGAAAATGAAATATTATTTGAATTAGGGAGTGGAGATGGGTGAGGAATAGGGTGGCGAGGAATCTTTAAATTAAAAAAAAAAAATCCTAAGGCACAAGAAGTCATGTGAGGACAGAAGAGGGGCCATGTGAAGATTGAAGGGAAGCGGCCAGGAGCCCCCAGAAACTGAAGAGGCAGGAAGGACCCTCCCCTGAAGCCCTCCCAGGGAGCACAGCCCCAGACACCCTGATTTCAGATTCCAGCCCCAGAACGGGGTGAGCACGTGTTCCTGTTTGTGTAGGCCAGTTTGTAGTGATCGGATCAGCAGCTCCAGGAACTAGACCCCTCCTTGCCCCTCCTTTTGGGGCTTTGACCTGGTTCTGGGAACAGCTGAGCCCTGTACCCAGCAGGGGAGACTCCCTAGGGCTCACAGGGAGATCCATCCCTGAGTCTGTGCCCCGTCCTGTCTCCCGCTCCCCTGGGAGAGTGACAGTGCAGTGGGCAAACCAGGGCAGGCTGCTTGGTGGGAAGTGCAGGCTATGTGACTCCTCACCACCTTGCCAAGCCCCCAGTTGCAGGATGATGCAGGGTACTCCCTGCCCCGCCCCGACCTCCCAGGCCTTCCCTGTCCAGCCTGGGCTTCCTCTTCCTGGAGCACTTGGGCTGAAAGGAGCCAGCAACTGGGTTGTCATGCCCATATTCTAGATGCCAAAACTGAGGCTCAGAGAGGAGGAGCAGAGGTCTGTATCCCCAGCCCACCTCCCCCTCAACTCAGCCCAGCTCACAGGCAGTTCCCCCAGCTGCCATGGTGTCAGAGGAAGAGAAGAAAGGGAGGGAAGGAGGGAGAAGGAAGGGGAGGGGAGGGGGAGAAGAGAAGAGGGGGAGAAGAGAGGGGAGAAGGGAAGGGGAGAAGGAGGAGGGGATTTCTGAAAAGCAATCCAAATATACACACCAGCTGGCTCCTCCTTCCTCACTCCTCTCCAGCTTCCAAGCCTCCTTTTGTGCAGGTAGGCAGGGCCTCTTCCTGGCCTGGCAGCCAGGAGCAAAAGAGGTCTGGGAGGCAGAGGGTCCAGGTAGTGGGTTCTGGGACCCCAACCTCACCTAGCAGATTTCCTGGATCTGGGCTACATCACCCTCCCACAGTTCCCAGACCAGGCAGGCTGTTTCCTGTCTCCCTGCTTTCGCATATGCAGTTCCCTCCACCTTGAATGCCCTTCCTCATCCTTCAAATCCCAGATCAGTTTAACTCCACCGGAGAACCTTCCCTGAGTCACGTGGAGCTCACCCTGCACCCACCATAGTCACAGCTGTTTTCTGGGGGCCATGAGGCCTTGGGGATGCTAGCTTTGCCTTTGTACCCCAGCCCCTGGCACAGTCAGGTGCTCAGTAAATCCAGAATCAAGGGAAGGAGGGAGGAAGAAAAGGAGCAAAGGACATACCTCTCATAGGATTGGAGGGGATCTGGACCCTGAGCGCCTGGCACAGGGCTGGGCACAGAGCAAAGCCCACTCCCTTCCAGCCGCCTCCACTTGAGCCTGGGCTCCAGCACCTTCTGCCTCATCTGATTTGGAGCCGGCTCAAGTGTCGCCTCCATACCCACAGCCTATGTCTGTTGCCCATTTGGATGCAAGGTAATTACACCAGGATGCAGACGTGCACTTGACTTCATAAGGAGCTTGAGTGTTTGGGAAAAAGGCCTTCATTCTCAGAAATCCTGGACTATGCAAACTTGCAAGGGCCTGAGGGCTGACCTTGAGCACAGGTTTTGACGAGGAATACTTTCTGTAAACAAAGCCTTACCTGATGGCCATTATATAAACCAGATGGAAACTAACTGCTTGGGGCGAAGTGGTGCATGTGGAAGGTGCCTAGGAGAGGGACCAGAAACCCTTCCCCTGTAGCTCTGGGTCCCGGAGAGATGAGGTTTAAGGTTGGTCCTGGGGGGGATGGGGCAGCCAGGAGAGAGGGAGAGGCCTGGGAGAGTCTAGTGGCTGGCATTTACTAACTGGTACAGAGGGGCCTCAGAATTTTCAGAACTGCGTGTTCATGCCAGTGTGGCTGGACCAACAAACTCATCTTTCACAGCAAGAAGTCAGTCTAAACAAACAAAAGTGAAAACACGTCCTTGGCAAAAATCAAAATGACTTCAACCTTTAAGAAAGATGCTAAAAGCACTTTTTTTTTTTTTTTTTAGTTAATCCTCACCCAAGGATATTTTTCCATTGATTTTCAGGGAGAGTGGAAGACAGAGAGAAACATCAATGTGAGAGAAACACATCAATTGTTTGCCTCCTGCATGAGCCCTGACCAGGGCCTGGGCCAGGGAAGAGCCTGCAACCAAGGTATGTGCCCTTAGCCGGGAATCAAACCCTGGACCCTTTGGTCCAGAGGCCGACGCTTTATCCACTGAGCCAAACAGTGGATAAATCACTTTTTAAACTTTATGTACATAAGTATGCAAAACATGCACATTTTAGCATATTCAAAGGCATCACAATTATGTATCCCTGAACCACCCAATTTCTCTCTTATCTCTGTCTTGCAGACCTTTAAGATAAATTTTATTCTATAATGTTATTTTTTAAAGTCTTATTTTTGGTTATAGAGCCAATGTTCACTTTGAAAAATGGGAAATTAGTTTTTGGCATTAGATGTATTTGAAAATGTCTAACCAAAAAAAATTATAGCATTACTATACTCCCATCCTAAAAGACATTTTGAACTGTGCTCTGGTATATTACTGTGAACAGGTAAGGCCATAACTGTAACTGTAACTGTAACTGTTCAGATACCTTATAGTCTAGAAACAGATGTACTACCGTATTTTTCGGACCATAAGACGCTCCGGACCATAAGACGCACCAGTTTTTAGAGAAGGGAAATGAAGAAAAAAAGATTCTGAAACAAATAGTGTCCTAAAATATTTTATGTGCATTAAAACCCAACATCACAGTCATAAACACATGTAATCAACCCTGTAAAGTAAACAACAGCATTTAGAACCATTTTAGAGCCGGGCAAGCACACAGAGACCACACAGAGCCGGGCAAGTAAAAAAACTTTTTTTTTAAAGTATATGTGTAGGCTATATTTGGACCATAAGACGCAGGGACTTTTTCCCCCCACTTCTAGGGGGAGAAAAGTGCGTCTTATGGTCCGAAAAATATGGTATGTCCTTTTTATTTTATTTAAACTTTGACCATTTATTTTTTAAAAATATATTTTATTGATTTTTTACAGAGAGAAAATAGAGGAATAGAGAGGTAGAAACATCAATGAGAGAAAAACATCGATCAGCTGCCTCCTGCACATCCCCTACTGGGGATGTGCCTGCAACCAAGGTACATCCCCTTGACCGGAATCTAACCTGGGACCCTTCAGTCTGCAGGCCAATGCTCTATCCACTGAGCCAAACCAGTTAGGGCTACTATGTCCTTTTTAATCAAATTTCCTTACTTAATTTTTAATCTTGAATATATGATACTATCTCAATTTTCTAAAGATCCCCAAAAGTGTGTATCAAGCAGCCATTTATAAATAGATCTATAAATGGTCAAATAAAAATAACTTTAAAATAATTCATCAACATTTAATGACTTTCATATTATAAACCATAAACGAGGATTTTTTTTTAAATCAAATGCTATAAAAATGGCACTATTCAAGAATTTAAATAAACAGTACAAGGACACATAGCTCTACCTATAATACTACCTTCTTTGAATTTTTTTCAATCCTCACTGCCTTCACCCATCTATGAATGTTATACTTCTTCATACTGTGCTGGGACTCTAATCACAGGAACTCATTAATTCTAAACTTGAATATATCAACACCAGATTATATACAAAGCAAACTTAATCTGGTTTATTTGCAATAAATATGGCCCTCCTAAATAATCCCCTAAAATGCTTGGGCCTAGTCTTCCACAGGTAACCTTTAAAATATTCATCTTCCTAAACATAGTGACATACACGCACTTGAGAATATAAAAAGACATTGTTTGCGCTGCCTCCCTGAACATCACATTAAGACCTCTTGAAACCACTTAACTTTCCTGATTCTGTGAGTATAATATGATCCATTCTTTCTTCCTTACATGGTCTTTGGAAAGAGCAAATTAATTTATAATTGGGAGCAATTTGAAGGTTTAAACGACTCCATGAACTGTGTTACAATACACGATACTCCTACAATTACAGACAGAATCGGGAGTTCCTACAGTGGTAAGGCTTGAGGAATTATCTGCTTCCACTTCTTCAAATACATTAGAGAGCCGAGGCCCAGCCAAAGAAAAAAGACCTGCTGGAGATTACACAGCTAGTTTGTGGCAAGGGCCTGCCCTCCCACCTCTCTATTTCCCTCACTGGCTTTTCAGGCTCTCCTGAATGCCAGTGTACTGAAGTGAGTACTTGATTCTGACCCGGGGTCTCTGTTCTCTCTCTGCTCTCCAGGTGATTGTTTCCACTCCTACATCCTAAATAGGTCTACAGCCCCCTACACCCCCCTCACCCCGGGGCCACTCTCATGACTCAGGACACTGCCACAGCCCGTGGTGTCTTCCCCACAGTAAAGTCTCCTAAAAGGCTGCTCGAGTGCTCAGGATGGGATGGCTCTTCCTCAGAAAGTCCCAGCTCTCTCTAAACCTCCCTCCCCTAGCCCCCCAGCCCCACCCTGTCTGTCTCTGAATTACCCCAACCAGAGCACCAGCGCGCCTCCAGGTTCTAAGCCCATGATAGAACTGTTCATCATACCATTTCCTGACCCGGCTAAGGTACCCAACAAACAGAAGTCATATTGACTTGAATGAAGAGAACTATTTTCTTCTCCACGTTCCTATTGTTTGCATATATTGCCAAAGTAATAATAATAATTGCAATGGAGAGAAAAATGCAGTTCTACCCTGGAAAAACAGTGGCAGGACATCTGCCTGGAGGAAACATGGCTATAGAAGATTTCCCCATTCTGCTGCAGGCTTCACCGTTGAGATTAAGTTTTTCCAGACGCGCAACTCTCGTTCTCCGGGAGGAAATCGGGTCCTGCCCACAAATATGGCTTCTCCTGAAACACTCCCAAATAGTCTTTCCTCTCCCCTACTCTGCTTAGCTCAGAGGTGGTGTGGTGATCTCTTGGCTACCTTTTTCCATTCAGACCATTACCCATTATCCTTCAAAATGAACACAAAGACCACATCCACTTCCTTCCTTTGCTCAGCTTTCCAACCTCTGAGTGCCTTCATTTTTTTCAATAACAAATGTCTCCTTTTTCTACAACACATCTGAGCATCCCAGGAGAAGGTGAGCTCCAAAATCATACACTCCAGTGGGCCATTTTTGGCTTCAGCTCTTACATTCCACCTCTCCCTCATCCTGGCACCCCCTCCCCGCACCACCACCACCAGTCTCTGAATGACCCTATCATTTGGCCCCATCTGGCTCCTCCCTTCCTTTCTCCTTTATGTCCCTCCTTTCTATTCAGCCCAGACTCTAGGTGTGTCACTTCACACGCTTTCCAGCCAGGACCCTCCATGCTGTCACTCTCTGTCCCTCTTTCCTTTCATTCAGACAATCCCAGCTGTGTCAATCCAATCACTTGCTGTCCTCACTCTGGTCAAAATCACCCGACTGTACAGGTTGGTGCCAGGACAGTGTGGTGGTCTGTACCCTTGGCGGGATGTGCCTCAGCGATTCCGTTACTCCGCTGCTGCAGAAGCCTCCGTTTTCTGCTGAAAGCAATGCTCACATCACTACTCTGCTCAGTCCTTTATTTCAAGCTTACTCCTTGCTCCAAATTTATCCCCTTGCCTTCCCCCCGTTTTCCTTCTCAGATCAAATCCCTCTTCAAATCCCACCTGCTACTTACAGATGCTTTTGTGAAAAGCAGAGAAAATGGTATAGAATGACATGAATACATTAAAATATTTATGCATGCAGAGTTAGTCTTCAGAACAATTTTTAAAGTTTTAGGCATCCGACTGTGTAATCTAAAATGAAATCTGCCTGCTCCCACTCTGGGGGTCTGTCAGGACCTTGAAACTTTCTCAGCTTTGTACTTTCTGGGGCACACACTGCTCTTGTGAACTCGCTTGTGTATGGACTTGAAGAGAAGCTAAAGAGCAACTACAACTGATTAATCACAAGCGACTAGATTTCAAAGACCCCAGGGCTTGTGGGGGGGGCAGAGAGGAGAGAAAAGGCAGGGGCCACGCTGTGGGTGCTCTGTCTTACCGCATGACAAAATTTGCTTCATCTATTTGACGGCCACAGCCACTCTTCTTCAGAATCCCACCATTTCCCACCACCGCACATTTCTTCAAGGGCAGCTGGAATGGGGTTGCCTAGCAACAGAAAACAAGGCGGTTTTTCACTGCAGAGAACACACAACTACTCACAACATCTTTGTTTACAGCAGACCCTTTGGAGGAATTTGACCGAAGTTTGGGCAGAGCGAAGGGAACATGTAAAAAGAAAGATGCAAGAATTTTGTTGAACGAACTAGCCTGTTCCTTTAAAATTAAAAAAAAAAAATTAACTATCTGCAGTATATTTTCCTTTTTTGTTCCCCCTGCATCAAATTGGCAATGCACATAGTGTCTGCTGAGGAAAAGGGGAAAATCCAAGCTACACACAGACATATTTTTTAAGGCAATAAGCCGGGAACAAATGCAAATGAATTATGCTCCCCAATTGAATGCAATTTCATTCATTCATGTAATTGGTCATAATCATTCAACAAACGTTGCTGAGCATTTACTATGCTGATTGTTGCTGACTGATACCAAGATACAGAAGCCATATGCCTCGGGATTCACAGTTCGAGACGTCAGTGGAGTATGACATATATACGTAGGCAGCAGACTCTAAGACAGTGCTGACATTGCTGTAGGAGAGAGAAGCAAGCTCCAAATATTGTGAAGAATCCTAGAGAAGGACAAGAAGGCTTTTTGGCTACGTCGCCTCAGGGGAAAAGGGTTCTCGAATCTTAAAGGATAAGCGGTTTGGCCAGGCAGGGAAAGCAGCATAAACAAAGGCACAAAAGTATGCTGAGAGCCAGTGCTGTGTTTACCAGCAACTGAACGCTCTGGGTGGTTCTGTTTAAAACTTAGGAGTCACTGAGATGCTGAGAGCCAGTGCTGTGTTTAAGAGCAACTGAATGCTCTGGGTGGGTCTGTTTAGAACTTATGAGGCACCGAGGGGCAAGTGACTTGTAACTGAGCCAGACAGCATGTGACTTTCTTTCTGCAAACATGGACTAGGGGAAAAAAAATGTTCACTGTACCTGAATGTTCCCTGCAGCGCTATTAATAGTACCAGGGAATATCCAAACCCAGCAATAGCCCCTGGAAGTGAAATGCGTCATTGCAGTCTCTTTTAGCTAGATCAGCAAGAACGACCAGATACAGAATTTCCTGCTGGCTGAAACAATGCATAATGATGGGAGTTCCTTGGGAGACCTTACTATATATAACTGACACATAAAACAGCAATAGTGATATTAAGTAGGCCATCCTGGATGAATCTGAAGTAGATGATATCGGTTATACCAAAAGAACAAATGGAATAAATACATAAATGTATACTATAAAGGTCTTGCCTAGGCATAAAATAAACAAGAAAATATTTAGAGACATCTTTGTGCTTATTGGTAGTTGAGGTAGGCTCCAGACCCAGCACAAGAAGACAGTTTCCCTTCCTTGGCTTCTACAATAGGATGTAAAAGGAACAATCAGAGCTATGGATATACAGTTAATAAAGATACAGTACTCAGCCCAGCCGACATGGCTCAGTGATTGAGCATTGCCTATGAACCAGGAGGTCATGGTTCAATCCCCAGTCAGGGCACATGCCCGGGCTGTGGGCTCCATTCCCCGTGTGGAGCGTGCAGGGGGCAGTCAATCAGTGATTCTCTCTCATCATCGATGTCTCTATCTTTCTCTCCCACTATCTTCCCCTCCGAAACCGATAAAAATATATTTTAAAACAATGCAATGCTCAAAGTGTAAAGTCTAAGCATTTGCCCGCAGAATTAAGAATTCCCTCCATGACCACAACAAAGACCAGTCCAGGGGACTCCAGAGCTGGATACACAGAGGAGAAATGGGAGAGGCCAGCTCTCTCACATACCTAGGGTAATCTGGGGTACTTTTCTCAGTCACTCCTGAGAGGAGGGTTTGAAACCAATACCCGAAACACATTAGTTAGATCTATAAATTGTTAGATATAGATTTGTGTCTTTTTGTTCAAGATAGCTATTTCTTTATTGCACAAGGATTTTCTAAGTGCCTGCGATTTCAGGAATTGTCCTGGGTGACAGGAAAGTGATAAACGCTGTTCCACTGGAGCTTATATTCTAGTGGCAAATGGATGATAAAGAAAGATAAATGAGTAAAATGAACAGTATGCCAGGTGGTGGCATGGACTGTGGAGGGAAAGAAATCATTGGCATTAGAGGACCAGCGCATGCTTTTGAAGAGAAACTGCAATTTAAACAGGTGGTTGGAGAAGAACTCAAAGGAACCATGTAAGCAAATCCTTGAAGGAGATGAGGAGTGAACCTTACCAGTATGGGTGGGGACCACTGGTGTAGACCTGGAGGAGGAAACATTCCTGGGGTTTGAAAGGACAGCCAAGAAGCCCATTGTGTCTGGTGATGAGTAAGCAAGGGAGACAGAAGTAGAAGAGGAGATCAGAGAATTAACTGGTGAGGAGGTTGGGGAACAAATTCTGTAGGGCCTTGTAGGGTATGGTAAAAACTTAGAATTTTAGTCTAAGAACTAGAGGCCTGGTGCACAAAATTTGTGCACGGTGGGAGAGGGGGTGTCCCTCAGTCCAGCCTGCACCCTCTCCAATCTGGGACCCCTTGAGGGATGTCCACTGGGATCGGGCTTAAACGGGCAGTTGGACATTCCTCTCACAACCCGGGACTGCTTGCTCCCAGCTGCTTGCCTGCCTGCCTTCCTGATTGCCCCTAACTGCTTCTGCCTGCCAGCCTGATCACCCCCTAACCACTCCCATGCAGTCTAACTGCTCCTCTGCCAGCCTGTTTACCCCAAACTTCCCTCCTCTGCTGACCTGGTCACCCCTAACTGCCCTCCCCTGCAAGGTTGATCACCCCCACAGCCCTCCCTTGCATGTCTGGTCCCTGTCAACTGCCCTCCCCTGGGGGCAGAATCTTTGACCACATGGGGACAGCCAGCTTGTGTGTTGCAGTGATGGTCAATCTGCATATTACTCTTTTATTAGATAGAATAGAGGCCACAGGCTCACATCCCCCAGATGCTGTGGCCCGCCCACCTGAGCCTGCTACAAGCTCGGCCTACTAACCGTTATGGAGTAACAGACAATTTACATATTTATCCATTATGAAGCATGAGAATCAAGTCACTGAATGGTGAGCAAAAGAATGACAGTATTCCATATTTTGGGACCATCACTTGCTGCTGTGTGAACAGGCTGTAGGATGTCACGGGCATAAAGAAAGAGACCAGTTAGGAGTCTCGTGTAACAAAAGACTAAAGATTTTGGTGGTTTGGACTGGGGTGACAGCAGCAGAGTAGTGAGAAGTAAGCAGATTCTGAAGATATTTGGGAAGAAGAGCTGATGCAGTGGAAACAGGGTAAGAGAAAAAGAGAGAAATCAAGACTCATGCCAAGGTTTTTGGCTTGAACAACTGTAAAGATGGACTTGCCATTGACTGAGATATGAAAGATTATGAGAGGAGCAGGTTTTAAGAGAATGATCTGGACCTTAATTTTAAATATGTCAAGTGTGAGATGCCCATTAGACATGTAAGTGGCAATGTCAAGGGGCAATTGGATATATCACAATATAGTTAGAAAACTAGTCTTCTCTGGAGATAAAAAGTTAGGAGACCAGCTGGTGAATGAATGTAGACAGTGAAGAGAAGAGGTCTAAGATCTGGATGGATCCTGGGGCACTCCTCAGGAGAATGATGAGAGAAGGTTAAGGAAGAGTGACCAATGGAATTGAGGCCCGGTGAATCAAAAATTCATGCACTGGAGGGAGAGTCCCTCAGCTTGGTGTGCCTCCTCTCACAGTCCGGGAGCCCTCAGGGGTGGGAGGTGACCCAGCGATCAGGGGAAGGCGATGTCCCCATCACACAGCTGCTGCTGCTGCTACTGCTGCTGCTGCCACAGCCTCAGCTGGCCCTGGTTATCTGGGTCTCAGGAAACTCTGGGCTGCTGGGCAGCCGCCATCCAAGGCTTGCCTACATCTGGGGCTGGCCTTGGGTGGCTGGGCAGCCACTATCCGAGACTTGCTTGTGCCTTGGGCCTGCCTTGGGGGGCTGAGGGCCTAAGGGGACTGGGAGACTCTGGAGACAGGCATGCAGGGCGAGCCCAGCTGTGCTGCATGCCTGCCACCCCACCAGGGCTGAGGAGACTGGGCGCCGCCATCTTGTGGCTGTGGGCGCCACCATCTTTGAGGGCATGGCAATCAATTAGCATATTCCCTCCTTATTGGCTATGGGCACCACCATCTTTTTGAGGGTGTGATGGTCAATTAGCATATTCCCTCTTTATTAGATAGGATATATCAAGAGGGAAGGAGGAAAATTGCATCAAATGCTACTGACAGTTTAAGTAAAAAAACAGCTAAAACTTGCCACTGGTTTTAGCAACATGGAGGTCACTGGCAACCTTAATAAGGACAGATTAGGTTCAGTAGTGAGGACAGAAGACTGATCTGAGTTCAGTGAGTTATACATGTATATTTGCACATCTATGTTAATATACTATTGTTTATTTGAAAAGTGGGGATCACTCATCCTCAACTAATTCTTAGTCTGCTTTGTAAAACCCAACCTAAAGCCCCCTCCTTGTTGTTAGAGAGCTTCCAGAACCAGACTGACTGGCAATCCCTAGTTTCCAGACAAGAATCTGGGCCCAGAACAAGATCTGGGAAGCAGCAGCAACAGCAGCATAAACCTGAGTACAAACAATCCCCCTGACTTCCAGGTGGGGGAATGTGGGGTAGGCTGTCAGACCCTTTGGCATTCTATTTCATGTCTCCAGAAGGAGACAAAATCACATAGGATTTCATGAGATTATATGAGACTAGAGGCCCCGTGCACAAAATTTGTGCACCAGAGGGGTCTCTCTCAGCTGGAGGGGAGATGTCTGACTACTGCAAAGGTGGGAGAGGTTCCTGCCACCGCAGCTGCACTCAACAGCAGTGAGCCCAGCTCAGGGCTTCTGGCTGAGCAGCACTCCCCCTGTGGGAGCGCACTGACCACCAGGGGGCAGCTCCTGTATTGAGCGTCTGCCTCCTGGTGGTTAGTGCACATTATAATGCCCAGTAGTTTTGCCATTCAGTCAAT